GGTTCCCTTGCTCGAAAGCCAGTCGAGTCCGACTCTAGGGTTGCGGTGCTCATCTCCGTTTCAAAGCCGAAGAGCCAGCGCTGTCCGAAGATGTTTCCGTGGTCATGTGGCCGGCATGACTAAACACCAAGGCGCACGGAACGCCCTGAGCCTTGGCTCAATTCTATATTAGTACCTATTTACAAAAAGGGTAACCCAAATCTCCCTGAAAACTTTCGACCTATTAGCTTACTGTCTGTTCTGGGGAAATTATATGCCAAGCACTTAGAACATCGACTGAATAACTGGCTACATCAAAATAAGATTACTGGTTCAGAACAGATAGGTTTCTCCAAAAAGAAATCTGCCATCGATCACTGTGCTACACTGACTTTTTTAGCCGACAAGTATATGAACATAGGAAAGAAGAAAATTTATGTAGCCTTTATTGATCTGAAGGGTGCCTTCCACTCAGTGCATAGAAATAAGTTATGGAGCAAACTGGCTGACCCAAAGATAGATCCCCGTTTGTTAATCTTGCTAAAGAAATTACACACAGATACAACTTGTCAGGTAAAATATTCTTCAAAAGGCCACTTAACTAGGAAAATACCTGTTTTTAAGGAGTTAAACAAGGGTGTGTGTTGGCTCCATATCTTTTAAATCTCTTCTTAAACAATTTATCACATTTTTAAAAATCTATAAAGGGGCATCTGCCCAAGCTAAATGAACTCCCTGTTCCACTATTATTGTATGCCGATGATACAACCATTCTTTCCCACACAAGAGTGGGTTTACAGAGATATTTGAAAGCCTTGGATAAGTATTGCCATTTAAATTCACTTTCTATAAACTATTCTAAATTGAAGGTTGTAGTTTTCTCTAAAAGTTGGCACCCACAAAAATGGTATATTGGTTACCAAGAAATTGAACAAACCAAGTGTTATAAATATCTAGGCTTAACATTCAATTACAATCTCAAGTGGGCAGTTCAACAGAATAGTTAATACAGCTAATTTCTCTTCCTCTCACATTAAACATTTTTACTATTTCATCATAACAGAATAATTAACACAGCTAATTTCCTCTCAGATTAAACATTTCTACTACCATAAAGGCAATCAATATTTCCCTGCAGCAATCAAAGTCTTTCAGGCTAAAACTCTATCTCAAATACTCTATGGTATTCCTGTGTGGATTAATGCCCTGAATCAGAAAATAGAAAATATTCAGGCCATATTCTTGCGTCAGCTTCTTGGAGTGCCTAAATGTGTACCTTATACTGCGATCTGCACTGAAACATGTTTGCACCTAATAGAAACCAAAGCGTGGATTGTAACTTTCAGATATTGGCTTCGAATTTATTATAGGGCAGAATCGGATAGCTTGCTTAGCTATCTTTAAAAAGATGCTTATAATGCTGTGTGGTTGGGCTGGATTATAGATAACCTTAAAAATATAGGAATTGCAATGGAAGACCTCTTCCTATCTGATGAATCCTATAATTTTAGACTAATGAAACAGAGGCTCCTTGATTTAGAACTTTCTAAGTTATGTCCTGTTCAATATTATATATGCTCGCCTGCGGCGCTTGGTCTTGCTCAACCCATTGGGAAAATGGCCAACTATTTATGTGATCTTGAAAGCCCCCAACAAAGGAGAGCATTATGTTGGCTAGGATGAATTCCTTTACTTCAAACGATGTTTATGGTAGATTCCTTCAAATTCCGTATAGTGAGAGAGTCTGTCCTTGTGGGGCAAATATTCCAGATTCCATCCAACATATATTGCTGGAGTGCCAGCTATATTCTAATCCCTGGAGGGAACTGTTTGGTAATATCTCTCTCCCTCCCTGTAATCTGGTAAATGGGATTGACTATTGTCACTTATTAAAAGATAGTGAAATAGAAATCACAAGGGCTGTTCCTGGAGGAG